GGTAGGGCTACTGTTAGTAGTACCTTGACTGCTACTTCCACTGCTGCTATTACTACTATTACTACTACTACCACTACTACTACTACTACTACTACTACTACTACTACTACTACTACTACTACTACTACTACTACTACTACTACTACTACTACTTCTACGGCTACTACTGCAATTACTACTGCCACGATTACTACTGCTACTGCTACGACTGTTAATACCACTATCACCACGACTCGTGCTGCTACTACTACGACTACGACTACGACTATTACTACTACTACTACTACTACTACGGCTATTACTTCGGCTGCTCCTACTACGAATGTTAACTTTAGTATTGCAAAGGCTCGTACTATTTCCATACTTTCCGCGTTTACCAATACTATTACGACCACGGCTACTATTCCAGTGCCAGTACTACTTGTGCTGCGACGACTACTACTACTACAAATACGGTTACTATGACTACTACTGCTGCAGTTATTTCGGCTACTGTTACTCCTGCTGCTACGACTACGATCACTATTACAACTACTACTGACATTGCTTTTCTTACTTTGGTATTACTAGGGCTACTACCACCACCACCACTGACCCATTACTGTTAATTGCGCTGGCACGGGCCCTATCCCTACTACTAGTGTTGCTACGACTACAACTGCTACTTCTACTACGGCGACTACTACTACTACGACTACTACTACTACTGCTACTACTACTACTACTACTACTACTACCACGACTTCTTCTACTACTACTACTACTACTACTACTACTACTACTACTACTACTACTACTGCTGTTACAACCACTATCGCTTCTACTACTACGGGTATGACTACGACCGCGTGTTCTTTGTTATTCTTTTTTCGCGATTACTATTACAACGGCTACGACGGCGACGGTGACAATAGTTACATGTACGCCTTGCGTTTACGCCCGCGTATACGTTTCTCATGCGGTTCGTCCCTCTTCCGTGTGTTGTGCGCATCCGTGTCGTATGCGTTTCGTGCGTGTCCTGTGGACGTTTATTTGTCGTCTGCTGTCTGTCGGCGTTACGTATACATGTCGTATTTGTTGCGGGTGCGCTGTGTATGAATTTGAGGTGTATTGGTCGTATAGTCGTATAGTGGTCGTGCATGTTGTTGCGTTCAGTTTTGGATGCGTGTTGTAAACGGTTCGTGCATGTTTCAATCACGTGTCGTAGAGTTGCTGTGTTGACTGCGCAGGAAAAACGTGTATACGTGTCGTGTGCTGCCGTCCATGTGTCGTATCGCTTTGTTTACGCGCCTGCTATGTTCCGTATGTGTCTCGTATACGTTTAGTGGTTTGTTTTGCATGTGTTCCGTACATGCTGCGTGCTGTTACGACAACGATCACGACCGCGTTACTACCAGTACGTTTGTTTGTTGTTACTTCTACGGCTACTTCTACTACTATGTTTCGATGATTGTTTGTATGGTTAATACTACTCCTCCTACTGCT